TGGAAACTTCTCTCCACTGATCAATCGTCGACAGCTAAAAGGACAAGGTATTCAGTAACATTTCGAGATGCGCCAGCTGATTCGACTTTCCCAGAATTTTAGCGCTAAAAGCGATAGGCACAGGTGGCGGAAATGGTGTTTTACTACATGACGCCAATCACTACTCGTACACAGCTAGTAGAAATCCCGCACGACTCAGGGCCAGCCAAGGCCACGTCTTCTACCCCTCCAGGGTAGTAATTGGTAGCAAGGAGCCGTGGTCTAGGAGATAAGCACGATTGTACAGCGGTCACAGCCACAAAAAGCAATGCGAATAAGGGCTAGTCTCATCAAAATGTCAATACGATCCGAATGTAAGAGGGATAGTGAGCGCATTAGGGGGATTGATTAGGTTGAATACCTGAAGCTCTCAATCGTGAGCAGCTTTAAGTTGGGAAGCGTTACCCTGTGGAAGATGAGATCAAACGGATAAGCATGCGTGCGATGCAGCATCCTTTTCGCGGAGGCCAGCTGCAGCTCACTCGAGCGGTAAACATTTATGATACAGTTCGTCTTCTTGAATTGCGGGGACCAACCGAGTACACGTCATTGTTTCTATCCTCCCAAACAAGTACCAATTCATCAACCCAGGCGAAGTGGAAGGCTTGGTTGGCGCGAGTCAGGAGCTGATCCCCAGCTATGCACGTGGGAAGTAGCGGCACTTGACCGCTACCACTTCTGTTAAAATGTACGACATCAAGGACGAAGTTCCTCAGTAATGAAACTGGCTGTATGTTTCCTGCGACTTCACCAAAAACTTATATCAAATCATGGTTGTCGTTTCAATGAAGGAACTTTTCAAAGGCGCGAAATTAGAGCACGTTAAAAACTCTTGATACGCCTCGGATCTGATCTGTAGGACAGTTTCGACGCGTATCGCATATACAGGGCACTTGGGTGGCATACAAACGCTTAACCAACTCTTTTTGGATAAGCCGGAAGCAGAAGCGGGGGGGAGAGGGGATTCCCAGCGTGACATTGAGCCAACTTTTACTTTCAGAAAATAGTCTCCTATCCTTAGTCTTGGATGAGGCCCGTATCTGCTATAGCATCATTCTTTCTATCATGACGTATATTTGTAATGATGTACCCATAAACTCCGCCAGTTTCTATGTGCACTACTGTCGAAATCAGTGACAGGATTCATAATCTCACCTGAGTATTCCATTCGATTGAATTCTGATTAAAATCGCCGCTAACAAACCCTCCATCCTTCCAACCAGGGCACAAGGTGATTCTTGAGGAAGCGCGACGGCTGACATGGATATTTATGGACTCTAAAAGTCATTGTAAAAGTTCTGTAACCATTCAATGCGTTCCATTACTGTGTGAAAACGGGATACATGGCTTATGCCAGAAGAACAGCACACGTTTTCCACATAAGCAATTATATTTTTTATTATATGAAATTATTTTCAACCTCTTCAAAAGGGTAGATCACTTATCTATTGCATAAATCATACTGATATCGTGCAATAACAAATTTCAAACATAAAACTTCACATCATTTTCTGAAGAAATGATCCTTTGGAGAAATCTCAAGGCATTCTAGGCAATACAAGGAGGGTAAGGCAATGGAATAACAATGACATCAATCGATTACTATTTACAAGTGAACAAAAACAATATTCAGAGTTCTAAGTCTTGGCGATTAAGTGGCTCTGAAGTGGCTGAGTCATCCAACGGGCGGGTTTTCCCGGCCACGGGAACGCGGTGCAATGCTACAGGTATGGGTCAGGAGGCACGGTTGACACCATCGCGCGCGCGGTGAAAATAACTCGTCGCGTCGTCGCGTGCGCGGTGTCGCACGGCGCCTTCTGACCCATACCCTGGTGCTACGTGGTCACTCGGGTCAAATTCGTTGATTGAGGCTTTTTTGGCTTAGCTGCTAGGCTTTGGGAACCCTTTAGGGTCTCTCATTCTTCACGTTGTCATTCTCGAGCATCACAGATTCTTCGGTGGACGGATCCGCGGTAAGAGTGACGCTGTCGAGGTTCACGTTCTTCGTTTCCACCTGTAACCAATATTTTTACTTATCCCTGAAGAATCAAAATAACTTTAAGCCTGGTTGAAATTCTGCTGACCAGGAAGAAGTAGGAGATGATCAGATTTACAAATCCTGCAATGACTACGGCCAGATAGAGCGCTGGAGGCCAGTAGACGTTGGCGTAGGTGAGCTGAAATGGACGTCAAGAAGAATTGGCAGACCAGATACCGTACTTCACTTTGCCTCTAAGATATTATACCATTCAAAAAATAATCGACTTACCACCGGAGCAATAATGGCGCCCACTCGAGCCATCAACGAACACGTGCCAGTGGCGCTGGCGCGACAAGACGTCTCCATGGATTCCACGGCGCACAGGTAGCACGCATCCCAAGTGTATTCGATGAAAATTGTACCGGTAACGTTGATGATAAGAGTTGCGATACCCTTTAAAAGTAGTTATCATTGCAGGCACAGGGTAGCAAAAATGGGAAATCCTTGCCTAAATATGCAAATAATATAATACTACGATTTGGGTGCCCGACAAGAGGCCCGTCGCGCGGCAACAAGACAGAGTCGCGGACGAGCCGCAGCACGTTCTGTAGTGTCGCGTCAAGTTGAATAGAATGCACCATTGTACTTGCCTTATTCGCACATTTCACGGCTGCGCATTCGTCTGCTGGCTATGCCTTCTTGCGCGCGACGGGCTACCCCCACAGAGTATATATGGTGTGCATAGCTGCAAATCACGGTGGCAAATTTTTGTCGCGCTATCGCACCGCGGCCAAGCGGCGATGAGCGGCAATGAAGAAAACCCAGCGCGCGCCTCTTTGAATGAAACGCTACAAAATCCCCCGAATCCTTCGCCAACAACTTCACCGATCGTGAGATAGAAATAATAAGACTTCCGAACTCACCGAGTAACCTTGCATAGTGAGGAAAAACAGTGTGAGGAAGCAAAGGCAGACAACAAACTGAGCGCCTTGATGAAGTGTTCGCCGACTGAACGCCGGAACGAATGTATCAATGGCGACCAGTACCTGAAAGGAAGAATATATGAATTTTGGGGAAAAAAAGGTGACTGAATTAGGCCATGCTCAGATGTCTCAAAATAAATACCAGCGCGGGGACCCGCCGATGGGTGTGATCTTCGTTTGGCCAGAGTCACATTCCCTTTTGTATGCGCGCAGGTGTGCGACTGCAGTGCAGAGCTTGGCATCATAGCCAGTTATCGGCACATGGGGCAACTAGCGTGAGAATCGCGCGGCATTGACTTTGTCGAGGCCACTACCAATTGTACTACTAGTATCCTTCGACTTTGTAGACTAGGCAAATAAGACCTCAAAAATCCAGTGTCGTTTGTGATTTTCGGTGCTATTGATCATTGTATGCCGTATGGTATGGTACTGTGTCTGCATTGCAGACGCAACCGGTTGCCGGATACAAAATATATCCGCGGAGCAACTTCGACGAAGACTTCGGCGCGCGCCGCGTGCACGTTATAGCTTCCTAGACCCATTCCCCTAAATCTGTGGTACCAAGCGCGTAACAAGTGTCAGATCATCGGACGTACCATTTTAGAAAGCGCAATCAGAATTGAGTAGATGATTTGGTTGAAAAAGAAGTCGCCACTGATCGTGTTTTGAGTTCAAATCGGTCGCGTAACCGCAGATCGACGCCACAAACCACATCGTCCACAGAACGAATAAGCGGCGATGAAGGCTTCTTGTTTGGAGCATTTCGCATAGCGTCTAAAAAATCAATGATCAATCATAAGTACTTGAATACCTCATAACATTTATGGAGAATATTTTGCCGAATCAGTAGAGAGGTAGTATAAACTAAAATTTCCAAAGAGCTAGAGTGGTTTGGAAGTTATGCCCCGCCCCTGACACTTCATACTAATTAGTTATTGTCAAAACTAAGCTCAAAGCCAGTGCTCAGAATTGGCGATCTTACATGCTTATTAGTCTATAAAGAAATGGATACGTATCGATTAGGCGATTAAGGCGAGGCAGACCGCACGAGCGCTCAGTAGGCGGAGCAAACAAATCGATACGCATCTTTTCTTTACGTCTACTTGCGTACTCCTACTCCACAAATCGTGAAATAGCTTACTCGTCTTGTCACCTGATCGATACCTATACTTTCCTTCCGTGGCGCGCCAAATCGCCAACTCTGAACGCTGCCTAGCAAAGTACATTATTCCGTATGTCAAATGGCGCTAAATGTCGAGTCAATAGTGCTGAATTCTTCTCATTTAAGCTGGCATATGGCACGGATCTTCATATAAAATGACGGACCTTGTTATGTTCGATCTTCTTGTGAACCACCGGTTTATACTCGACACGAGCGAATCTGGCAATATAGCGTTCAGCTGTACGCATCTCTTCTAGACGTCCCTTCAACAACAACACAATACAAACTGATTTTAAGCTCAGAAAAAAGAGCAAATTCCTTACCTTGTTATTGAGCCAGGTAGGGCTTTCAGGAAAGATGAAGATCAGTATCAGAAGTGCTGGTAAGGCGGTGAGAGCGCATGCGATACTGGAGACTCTCCATTCGGGGAACGCCATACATATCAGCGTCATAATCAGTCGGGCAACACCCTATATTCAAAACAATTATTTTACTTTTAAATTGCAAGAGTAACAAAAAACACGAGGACAAAAAAATGGTGATGAGGCGGGTGGACAAGACTCCATGCGCTGGTCCAGGCTTAAGAGCTC